CATTTTGTGGAGGCTCTTAGTCCTTGGCCCCAGCCTTGGAGACCTGCTGGGCCCTAGCAGAGTGGTATGAGGCCTACGGAGGAAAGGATGGGGGCTTCACGTCCTAGTCCTGCCAGGGCCGTGCCTGCTAGGGACAGAGGAGACATGTCTCCAGGGTCATCTGGTCACTAGGTGGGTCCTGTCCTTGCGCTATGAGGCACCAGTGGTCTGTTGGAAATGCTGTGTGTCCTAATTCACGCTCTGGCCAGATGCTCATCTTCTGGCTCCGCTGCCGATTCGTGGGGGTGGGTGTTGCCGTGGGACTTGTCCCGTGGGACTCACTCCTCAGAGGGCAGCCCAGGCACCTTCAGCCTTTTCTGTGTGGGTGGGTTCTGTCTGCCTTTTTGGGCTCTAGGTGAGGTAGAGGCCCTGGGACCTTGAGAGCCCAGGGGCTGCACTGCCATAGCCTTGTGCGGGAGGCCTGGATACTACTCACCTGCTCTCATGCTTGTGGTGTGGGGATGAGAGGCAAAGAGCCACTGTCCAGTGTGGGCAGGGACAGGACAGACAGCCTGAGAAGGCTTGGCCTGATTTGGCTGGCAGTCACCTGGCCTTTTTTTTTTCCCTCTAATCTCCCAAGTGCCTTATTTTATGCCAAGTGCTGTAATAGACAATTGGTCTGATAGCAGCACCGAGCTTACCTCCTTCATCCACATTTACTGCGGTCTTGGTTTGGTTGGTGGGAAAGGTTAGCCCAGTCCAGGCTGCCCAGATGGCCTGTGGGGATGGCTTTCCTTAGGTGTAGAAAGGTGTGTGTCTGCCCTCACAGCCAGCCCCCACCCCCAGTGGTGTCTTGAGGTGTGTGTGGTGAGCTGTGTGGTCAGTACTGGTGAGAAGTCTGGGTTGTGACCACCATCCCCAAGGTATGGAGAGGTCAGGCGCCTGGAGGTACAGGTGCTTCTGCAGCCAAGTGTGAGCCTGAGGGGTGTCCTCAGAGGCCCCACCTTTTGGAAGTACCTGGCTGAGTCTGAGTCAAGCCAGGTCTCTCTGTAGCTCAGGGAATGGCTCTGTTGCCCTCCGGAGCCCCCATTGAGGACCCATCTCACCCATGAGAGTAAAATGGTGTGTGCTGTTTATTTGACCTGCTGTTTCTGAGCTGGCATTTTCACAGCCCTGGGGATCCAAAAGGATACCTGGGAGTCAGCTGAATCCACCTCCTGTGGTACTGGCCTGGAACATTCTGTGAGGATGGCTGAGTCCCTCC